AGACACCGTCTCGGGGGATTACTTCCACATGACAGACCTTGCATGTAAAAACCAGCTTCCTGTCCCTATTCTCAAAAGGAATAAAATCTTAATTGGTAAATGAGAGACACAATGAAGAAAGAAAGGGATTGTTCCCTCGTTGATTATCTTAATTGGTAAATGAGAGACACAATGAAGAAAGAAAGGGATTGTTCTGCCTCGTTGATTTCCATTTGTAATAAATGCCTACTAGAAAACTAACTATACAGTAAATCTATTCGTTTTGGTGGTGTATTATAAGTGCTAACTATACCACAAATGATTGTACACAGAATTTTTGTAAGACTCTGCTAAACTCATCACCAAATGAAAGTGTGTACTACCTTTTCATTAAAAAGCACTGAAAGCCATTCCTTATGTCAACGTCAGTAGGGCAGACCGCAAATTCAAAAAGCATTGTGGAACTTGACCTCCTTGGATTCTCTAACAGCAGTGCCAAGCTAAACAGCCAAGAAAAAGTCAGTGATCACAAGAGCAGATTCGGAGGCCAAAACCAGATGTCTGACTCAAAGAACATATACCAAGAAACAGACTGTTAGAACTAAGACGAAGTTGAACGTGGCTGTGATGTGCTGAAAGGTTAAGATCCACACGAGAAGGCTCTCACTGTGGGCCACACTATGGCTGCAGGGAGGGGGCTGGCGCCAGAGCCCTGTGGGGGCACAGGCCTCACCAAGCCCTGAGTATGGTCTCACCTGCACTCGGCCACTGCTTTTAGTGCTCATGGAATCTTTACCCTACCTGCCCAGCAGTACCTGGACTTGACTTCCAGTCTTCCTGGGAATTGCAGCTTTTGGTACTAGCGTTGTTGAAATCTCAACAGAGTAATCCTTCGCTAGCAGACTCACTGTCTCCAAGAACCCCGCACAGAGAGCCCTGCAGTCCTCGGCTCCCAGTGCCTTGGAATTGCTCAGCTGAGACACCAACAGAGGGCTCCACGCAGGAGTGTTGTTTAAAGAAGAGGACAATTCTGCAGAGTCAAAGAGATGCCGCGGACAAGCTAACGTAGATACAGAACCACAGCTGACCACAGCAGGATGGAAGAAGCATGAGGATGGCAATGCTGGGGCCGAGCAGGCACGTACCTTTCCTCCCGGTTCTGTCCCACACACACCCGGCCTCCGTGCCGCGGTGTGGGGTTGCTGCAGGACCGCTGCCGAACCTGGAAGCCAATGCCACAGGTCGTGCTGCAGGGCGACCAGGAGGTCCAGGGAGTCCAGCCTCCATTCCTGGGAGAGAGGAGCAAAGTGATCTCTCTGTCACACTGATTTAGAGGCCAAGTCCAAGCCCTGTCTGGAGCCAATGCAAATGCACGTGACCTTGCGGGGAGCATCTGATTGGAACAGCAGCCTTTGGACTGAACAGACCGGGCCACTGTGGACCTCATTTCAGTTCCCTAGTCCCTGCACCCAGCCCTTCTGCATCAGCATCTGATTTTAGAGTCAAGACAGGAAATTTGAGAATCCAATTGAAGTACACCATAAATCACTTAAAATGTTCTGTATCAGAAACTTAATATAGTTTTGCTATGAAAATGCTAAGCCACTATAGAGTAGTATTATTTTACAAGAAAGCATTTAGAAATGAATCCCCAGGCCTCTAGAGTTTATGGTTTTATTTGACTTGTATTATATCCACTATAAGCTATGCAAATAATCAAGGAACGCTACACACGACATTCTTTTAAATCCATCAATATCAGCCACTCTCTGGATAGTATTCATTTTTATAAGGAGCGTGAGTGCTACCAGCTTTGAAGAAAACTTCGTTTAAAATGAACAGACTATTTAAATGCAGATTCTTGACCATTCTCTTGAGAATTGTCCAAGATTACTAAGAGTACAAATAAGAGTTACAAATTCCAAAAGACTGTATGTATGTATGTTATTATAGAAATATAATAATGGAGATATAGAAGAATATAAAAGTGAAATGAACACATTTTATAGTATTTATAAAAGAAATCATTATTGACAGCTAGAGGAAAAGTATTGCATTTTTTCCTTAAAATTGCCTATATTCAGTCATTTAAAATTTAAATATCTTCCTTAGCAGTTTTTCCAGGCTGTTAAAAATAAATTCTTGATATTTTAGAATTTTAGATGTTAAAATATTCTATTGAGGCAGACTCTAAATTAACACAGATATCACCTACCATTATGGTATGTTTTTCTATTTCCACTGTCACGTATGCATTTCCATGCGTATGTGGTAATTCCATCCACAGGATTTGCATTTTATTTGAAAAAAATCAATGCATGCTAAGTCTCACTTTCATTTTATATCTTCGTTTAAGGACATGAAAATCCACAACAATACCATTGAATATATGGCTATAAATAAGTCGAGTAGATAACCTTAAAATAATTTGAAATGAAAATACTTCTGAGAAAATTCCTAGTATATTTCATTATTTTACTTACCAAAACTTAGTACTATAATAAAGTATATAGTGATAGTTTTATGCATATTATAATAAAGATACTTTATGACAATTTCATTAAAAAAAGCTTTGTGTTTCTCATAAAAGTAATCTGCTAGTTTCTGATACCCTTCCACCTACAGTCTTACAGATTTTCCAAGTACTTCAATTAATCACTCAAAATCTTAACAACTTCAGCATAAATCACATTTTTACTTTCAAAATTTCTTTACATAGGAATAGAATTATTAAATAATGCAGAAAAACTCTGCTTTCAACATTTCTGGAAATTCTTAATTCCTTAAACCATGTAAAAGCATGAAATTTAATGACACAGCTTCCTTGTAATGTGCATAATGTCTTATACAGGACAATAAGTAAATAAAGGTCTATAAGTGGTATATAGTAAGTGAAGGAATAATTGAGTCAGTGTGTGTGTGTGTGTGTGTGTGTACTGTATGTTCCTGGGTTTACATGCTCTTAAATGGTGTTTAGAGGTAGACAAGGTAGCTGCCAGAGAAAGAAGCTAGAATTAAATAATCATCTACCAGCAGATGCATTCTGACAATTAAGTCATTATGAAGTAATTCACTTGTGCATTTAGAATTACTGCTAAAAGCAGTCCAGTTATTAGACCTTTAATTTCACAGTAAGTGTTGGATGTATTATAAGCCTGTCTAAATGATCTCTTAACGAGAACGAGAACTGAAGACCCAACAATAAACAAGTCACAAGAATGCACTTGATAGTCCTTTTGTACTTAAATAATATGCAAGATATTAGCTATTTATTGTGATCTCTGCCTGGCTCCTTTCTGCTCTGTGGGGCACAGCTCTTCTCGGGCATGTGGACGCGCCTGCCCTGGGCTCTCCGCTCTGGATCCACAGTGTGATTTTCCCTTTCAATGACTTCACAGATGACTGTCTCAGTGGTCAAAGCATTTTAGCTAGTCAGGCTCAGGAAAGAGGAGCAATGCTTTTTAAACTGCCCGAAATTGCTGAATGAGAGAGGAGGGAACCTGCAGTCTGATCTCCATGATGCTTGTGGTCAGGGCAAATGACGGTGGCAGAAATGGAGCACAGTCATCAAAAATAAAAATAAAAATCAAGCAAGAGCCCAATAGGATGAGGACGCAGGAAACCCCTTCATTGGGTCCTGTGGTTTGCACTGTGCCACTGGTCACCACCAGATTCTTGCTAAGCAGGGTCTCTGACGCTGATACACCACAGCAAAGCTTCCCCACCAAGATCTGGCTGCTTCCATCTTCTAACTCGAATTGTACGTTCTCCCAGCAGCAATCTTATATATACTCTGGGAAGAGATTCCTAAGAAATGTGGACATTTCCCCCCAACAAGCAGATCATTTTGCATAAATCAGCAATATTTTTATTAATCTATGAGGAACATGTGAACAGGTTTAGAGTTATCATCTCATTTGAGGTTCATCCGTTCCTTCCGCAGGTCACAATATGTCAGAGGTGAGTGTTCTGGTCCTTTTTACCACCTCTGATCACAACAGGGAAGGCAGCCATTAGGAATCAATTCCCACAGTCCTGGGCAGCTGGGCCTGGCACGTGACTGTGCCCTGAGAGACCCACCTGGAGCAGTTGGCGATCTCCATGCTGGGGCCCTCGCACTGCCACCCGCCGCACTGTGGGGCCGGACTGTCACACGAGCGGGACCGACAGAGGCAGGACCCCATGGCGCTGCCATCGGTGTGAGTGCAGGGCGTCCACGGAGACCACGGGCCGAATCGCCCGTCCACAGTGAGATTCCGGGTCTAGGAAGTAGACAGAGAGGGTTAGGTCCGCAAATAGAATGGACTGGACATAAGGGTTGCTCACAAGGCAATCTCAGGACGCCTTTAGAATATGTAAAAAGATTACAGTTAGTAAGGGATTAGTGGTGAAGCACTTTAAAGTAAAACAGAGGAGCTCAGGAGTAGAGGAAGGAGGAAAGAAGGGGACAGGGAATGAACGATAGAAGGAAAGGAGGAGAGGAGGGAGGAGGAGGAGGAGTGGCAGAAGGAGGAAAAGAAGAAAAAGAAGGGGGAAAGGAGGAAGTGGGAGGAGATGGGAGGAGAGACAGTGGAAGGGTGAACGGAGGGGAAGTAGGACACGAGGACAGGAAGAGGATCACGAGGGAAGGTCGTGAGGAGCTTTGTAATCCGGTCTGGCAGAATCATTTCCAAATGCTGGAAACCCACACACCAAGAACTGCACTGGAAAAGTGTACATGTACAAATGTGTTTTACACACACACACACACACACACACACATGCACTTTTTAAAAAGTGGAACACTGGTCAAATAGTCATTTAGGCTAGGCCTGGCTCTAATATCACAGCTCTTTACTTGTTTTGGTACCAGGGATTGAACTCAGGACCTTCCCTTGCCAGGCAGGCACGGAGCCACTGAGCCACATCCCTGGCCCACTAACATGTCGACTCACAACATTTGATTCAAAATGTGTCCTGGCACCTACTGAGCAGCAGATCTCCCCAGGTGTCTGGCAAATCCCACTGACCCGAGGGCCCGTGGGCCAGTGGGGAGGGGCTGGCTGCAACTGTGACCACAGTGAAGTCCACAGTGAAGACAAGGACTTTGGGAGCTAAGAGACACTCAACAAGCTGGCAGGGTCTGGGGAGTACCAGCCGGGGCTTGTTCTGAGTCTTAAAGGATGAAGGAGGAGCAGGAAAGACAGCTGGTGAGGATGGAGGAGGTGGAGTGGTGAGGTGGGCACATGTGGGGCTGTAGGAGCAGCCAGGTCAGGCCAGTGTGGTACTGTCCTTCTTCCCTGGTCACAGGCAAGGCGGGGGACACACACTGGCATCCCTCAGCACACAGCAACTCGCTGTGTGTTCAGGGCTCAGTGAGTGCTTGCAGCACGGAGGACCGGACACTTCCTGCTGAATCTTGCACAAAGATCTCCAGGGGAGCTGGGGAGCTCCAGAGAGCAGACTCGTGGGGACACCCCATCTACAGGTCACCCTGTCCAAAGGGAATCTCCTCCCAAGTGGGAAGGAAGCAGGCCTAAAGCCTAAGCCTCCCAATTTTTTTTTTTCTTTTTTGGCACCAGGGATTGAACTCCGGCCCTTGCGCTTGTGAGGCAGGTGGCGGCACCACTGAGCTAAGTCTCCAGCCTGCTCCATGTTTTAATATAAAGACTTAAGCACCACTTAGCAAATCAGACAAAGGAAGAGACCTGATGAGGAATGGATGGCGTGCTTTCCTCTTACTCTCTGCTGCCTGCTGCACCCCATCTTTGGCCAAAGATCGACCAGCCCTTGATGTATTCATTCCCTGGGCCGACTCACTGTATTCCCCACAAGCAACTGCACAGATGACACAACTAAAGTTCAAGGGGCCGCAAACCTCGCCCATATATCCATGTCAGAACAACGCCAACACTGTTAGGTGCGTGAACACACACTTCGCTTTTGAGCCATCCTTGCTCCAAATACAACAGGACACAGTTACACAGCAAATGTGCCAATTTTCTGACATGGTTCTTTGGCCACACTCGACTGCTGTGGTTATGACTCCACCCTTCCTTCTGTCTAATCAACTCCGATGCTTCTACTCTCCAAGGCGGGTAAACTGGCCATTCCTTACCACACCTGCTTCTACAACAGATGTAGCCAGAGGGAAGGAATGGTGCTATCTCACTGGACGGCAATCCTGAGAGAAAGTGAAGTTTCAAAGGTCGTTTCTCCACCCAAAAACAAAAGATCTCTATTTCCCAGGTCCCATAACCCGTGCACATCCCACTCTCCCATTATCGGGTTCCCTGGAGACCACAGAGCTTCCTTGGTGCACCAGGCCGTGCCTGACAAAGGGACAGGAACCACTGCCTTGGCAGATTCTCTGGCTAAAGCGTCAAAGACCCTGCCATCTGGGACTTCCCTCGCTCATCTCCCACCCATTGAACCACCTCCTCTTTCCCTGTCCAAAGGACTCGTGTGTACATCCAGTGTCCACAGTGACTAGATAAGAACATTGGGATTTACCCCTGGTCTTGGGTACTTTCTGCTCAAGGAACATAGACTCCTACTCTACTCTGATCTGGGGAGGAAAAATCCAAAGTGAGCACAAGCCCCTCTGATCAGCGCTCCCTTTGTATCATATCATCCCATCCATTCGGGCTGGGCCAGGGCTGAGTCTAGGGATAGAAATGGCATCAAATTCTGGCCAACGCAATTCAAGAGGAGACTGCAAGAAGATTCCACACATATCTTTCCTTGGATAAGAGAAAACTCTTCTCCCCCATGTTATTCTTTGGGCTGAGATCCTGGCAAGTGAAAAGGTGACATTTGACACATCTGTTGCCATTCTGTGAGTCCAGGGAATCACAGACTGGCTCACACAGTGCCCTTCCTGAGGGTGGGGTAGGCTCTGCCCCGAAAACATCATCTTCCATATCTGATACATCTCAGGATGACCATGGTCCCTGCTAAGGTCCTGTGCACCGGAAACTCAATTCTTACAGGCACAGTAGTACCATGTTCACAGAAAAGCAAGATTCAGAACAACTTTACGACATTCCAGTGATTACACAACTAACATTAGGAAAGATGTAATTTGAAATGCCAGTCTGCCTATTTATCTTATTTATTTACTGCTACGGGTTTTTCAGTCTCGGCGCCGTTGACATCTGGGAGTGATGGTTCTTTTCAGTGGGAAGCACCCTGCACACGGCAGGATATTCAGTGACATCCAGGTCACTACCCACGAGATGCCAGAGCAGCACACCATTCCCAGTCTAGACAACTGGAAAGGTCTCCAGGCACTGCTAGATGTGCCTTGGAGCAATCATCTCCCATGCCCTCCCCGAGAGCCACTGCACTGGAATTCTGTGCTCTTTCCTTTAGTTTGGTCTGAGATCGGGGGGTTTTAGATAAGAGATGTTATCAATGTTCCCTTGTCAGTTATATGCATGGGAAAACGATGAGCTAATGAGAATGACACACATGCAGGGAGGAAGGAATAACTTGGAATAAGTGATGGTGACGAAGAAGAATGAGGCAGATAAAACATAACCGCAATAGTCATAAAATACTGAAGGGAGAGGGGTGCGTTGGCACATGACTAATGGGAACAGGAAGTGACTGGAACTCAGCAAACAAGAACGTGGCTTCCTTCTGGCCAGGGTTGGGGTAGCTTCAGGCTTTTCGGGGCAGGGTCTTCAACCCAGCCTGGCAGCTGGTTCCATTCCATGTAGGGGCAAAAATAACATGTAGTCCTCAGAGAAGCATGACATCTTGGGAAAGGCCCTGGGCTTCATTCAAGGCCCTGAATATATTAGGAGACTCTGCCTAGGAAACAGGACTCTGAATTAGGGAGTAAGTTCTGTGGTTTTACTTTTTCACAGGAATAGGTAGTTTTATATTTTCTACACTTTCCTAAACAGACGTCAGAAATCGTTCTAAGGACTGGGACTGTACGACAGTGGTAGGGTATTTGTGCAGCATGCCTGAGGCCCGGGGTTCAATCCCCAGTACTCAGGAGAAGGAAGAGGAAATGAAGCACTTTAGAATAAAATGTCTATACCTGTGCTTTCTTCCAGGTTTCTGCCACATGACCATCTGTGTGCAGTACATGCTTTCCAGTGTTAAACATTAATACACAGTAAAAGATTTCATCAGTATCATGCAGGCCAGTGCAGGCTATGCCAAGTGCCCTTGTTTACACATATTAATTTATTGAGGTTTTGATCACATCTAAGTAACTATGTCTCATTTTGCAGGTGTGAAACCTGAGTCCAGATGGGATCTGCAATTTTCTCTAAGTCACTTGGTTGTAAAAGACCCAAGAAATGCCAGGTGTGGTGGTGCACGCCTGTAATCCCAGCACTCAGGAGGCTGAGGCAGGAGGATCGCTGTGAGTTCAAGACCAGAATGGGCTACATAGTGAGTTCCAGGTCAGTCTCAACTACATAGTGAGACCCTGCCTCAAAAAGCTAAAAAAGAGAGAGAGAGAGAGAGAGAGAGAGACCCAAGAAATCAGCTCAAGCAAGCTGAGTCCAGAACTTGTGGATTCAGTGGGGTCATTCAGTAATGTGATTCTTTAGGTCCTCCTATCCGAGAATCTCAAAGAAATCAGTTACAGAATTTACCCCAATTGTGTAATAGCTAATGTCTTTCCACCCAAGAAATAGTGAATCACTCAGTGCTACCTGAGGGAGATCCAAGTTTTGTTAATAAGCATAATCCATAATCCTATGCTTGGTTCATCCCTATTGAGGTAACCATCAAATGACCAAAGCTGTAGACGCATTGGTGAGTATGAAGGTCCCCAGAACATACGTGTATTTTCTTACTGCACTCTAACCGTTATTCTCTTATGAATAAATTGAAATATTTTATTTTCTATTTAGACTTTTCTTTCAAAATTAACAAGTATTTATTTGTCCAAGTTTCTGCCAGAGATTGCTACAAAACAGAACACTGGATGCGCTCCTCAGAAAGCCTTCTTTCATGTTACACTAATTAAATCTCATTCCAAAGCCTCGCTCTACACATGAGCTGCAAAGAAAGACAGCAGCTCTGAGTTCGACTGGCGTGCTCTCTGGCCTCTGATGGGACTGGTCAATGGCGTGAAGCTGTTTCAGGCTCGTTAACCCCAGTCCTTTCATCAACACAGTGGAAGCCATCCTGTCCGTCCTAGAGGCTCACCGTGTCCAGTTAGCTAGCGCCTGCAAAGTTACCGAATGTGATACAGGAGACACAGTCTAGGCACCATTCCCCCTATGTTCCCTTTACTTTCTGTGTAGTAGATTTCATCACAAAATGCAGAAATACTGTCTTTTCCACTCTCCAAGCTTAACATGCAGGGTGGTAGACCGGGTCAACAGTCCAGTTTTCAGATGCTGCTCTGGGAGCTGGGGGCAGCGTCATCTACAGATAAGAAGTCAGAAACACTGACTTTAAATCCTGGCTTCCCAGGAAACTTGCAGGAAGCCCTTTAGATTCCAGTCTGTGGTGTTGCGTGTGAATCAGAGCTTTGAGTATGACCCCTGACCAACTCTCCTTTCTCTTGAGATGCTCATTACAGGGGGGTCTGAGACAAGTCCCTCTCTTGGGAGACTTTAGGTCCTTATTCCTCTGTGCATCTTGTTGCTATTGTAGGATGTACTTTGGATCAGGGACTCACCACGTAGGGTACAGCAATAATCGTGCACCTCTAAAGGATCTGGCTCGCATTCATGCACAGATAGAGCTCAAGTAGATTCATAAGACTACACTCACTCACTAAATAATGCTCACATCACAAGTTATGCAGGACCCATATATTCCCTTCTTCGGTCTGCATATACCTATTTGTTTACTTAACGTATATGATTTAGATCTTGCTCATGCATTTCAAATCCTTTAAACTAAAAGTCATATTTTCATTATAATTTCATAAGCAAAAAAAAATGTTCTTCAATATGCCACTGAACTGCTGTCTTGGCCACTGGACTACAGAAAACCATGAATAAATAGGGTTTTAAGTAGGGTTTTCCTCACATAAAACATGATACACATAGACACACAGGAAGACTTCTCCAGCTGGTGCCAGCCTCGGGAAAGAACCCTGCTACACCGAGCCTCACCTTCCTCTCTTCAGTCTGTCTGCTTTCCTAACTTCCGGTTGAAGGAAAAGCTTCAGGACCACATGGTGTAAATCAAGGAAAGAGCAGGTTCCTTGAGAGGAAGCACAGCTCAGATGTCTCACGCAGTTCTAACGTATGGGGAAAAGCAAGGACTCCATTGGATGATGTGCAATTTCTCTTCCCACCCATCCTGTAGAGCTATGCCCACGTGGACAGGCAGAGGTTGTGGATGTGTGCTGGGGAAGGGACTTTGGAACTTTTCAAATGCCTGCAGGTTTATAGCTGTTGTTCATGTGCTGCAAGAACAGATGGGAGAACCCTAGGTTACTGGCTGAGAAGTTTGAAAGACAAACAAACATTGGTTCGTACAGATGAGGACAAATAGATAAACGAAGGAAACTGCAGAATTTGTTCTCCTTGGATTCACGGTCTGGCTCTTAGTGCTCCCTCCTCAGGGTTCACCGTGGGAATGCACAGCAGCTGCTTCTCCCAGGCCTGGCTGTGACCCTGAGCAAGGTCTATGAGTCGGCCCCATGTGAGGTCAAACTAATATCCTTTATTTTACACTTTCAAGTCTTTCTTTACATCAGCTTCTGGAGTTACAGCACCATGGGAAATGTATGGGTGTGGAAATTCCCATTTTATTAGTGCTAAAAAGGCCAAAGAGTCCACACTAACTCTGCAGGGAAGAAAACTCCAAGAATCAGACAGAGGTATTAAGTCCTGAGACCAAATCAGCAATGTTTTTAAGACAGTTCAAGCAAACATAAAGCTTGCGAGAGCATGCGTGGGCCTTGGACAAGCCAAGCGTTAAAAGAGTTTTGAAAGGGCTGCCCAGTTTGCAAGGTTGGAGAAAAGAGATGGGGTGGGGGGCGGTGGTCAGGAGGACCTGGCTTCTGTGAGTGGTGTATCCTGAAGCTGGACAGGGCTGGCACGTACCGGGCAGGCGGAGATGCTCTGTTCCCACTGAGTCATGCTGAGGCTCTCCTCCAGGCTGGTACACCTGTTCATCACGACGTCCCAGCCACAGTAAGGGTCCTGGGCCCCAATGCAGGTGCTGGAAACACACGGCAGAGGGTCAAGAGAGGGAGAAAGCCCAGGCCTGCCTGGCCCTTGTGCGCGGGCGGGCTCAGGACAGCTCTGACCACTGATCATACTTACGCAGCTATCTGCACATTCCCATATCTAATTAATGACAAACTGCTAGTTTTAGTTGAAATATCTATATTGTATCTAACGTACAGGACAGATGGGCAAGTGTGCTGACAGGAACACATAGGTGTCACGAATTGAACTAAAGTCAATTTTGCAAAGCTCAAAAATAATAACACCGTTATCATCACCATCACCATCACGATCACCAGGATCTTATCATCTCCTTGGCAGCAAGTAAAATGCACTGACTTTATATGGATAAAAGCAACTCCTAATGTTACCGACACACGTTACTGATAGGCAGATACTAGTATTTTCACTTTACTTCCCATATCATCAGTACCATCATAGAGATCATCGCCACTACACTGATGAGACAAACGAAGCACAGAAAATTTGAAAAAGTGCCTCAAGGACAAGAAAGTGTATCTAATATGTAGTTAGTTCTAATTCACTCTAATGGGGACACCTTGCTTTGGAATGCTATAGCTTTAAAACGTATGAAAGCTTTAATTTATCGGTAGTTTCATATAGCTACATCTAGAACATGCAACATATTACACCAGAAGTTGTACATGCTGATTGTTTTACATATAAGGTGGACGAAGATGTTGGCCTCTACATGACAAATAGGAAAGAGGCGAATAGGGAAAGGGGAAGACAGAGATCAGTGTGGGAGGCAATATCACAGACTAAGAGGGCCGTGGACATCTGGAAACCTTCTGCAGGGGCAGGAAATCAGACGTGCAAAGGGGGAGGTGAACCCCGGTAGAGACGCTCACTTCTCTTCTTAGAGGTGCCATGCCACTCAAGGCAGGAAAACATCAGAATTAGCAGTTCACCAGGAGGAAGACTAAAATGAGCCCAACTACCATGTGCTAGGATGGGAAGGTAATATAAATAAGGTGTTAATGATAATAATATAGAAGTTAACACTTTAATAGGTTCACCACATATAAAGCACGGTTCCAGCAACTCAACCTCTATCAGGCCCTGTGATCCCACAGCAAACTTGTACAGCACTTTGGTTAAATCCGGCATTTATTCTCATCTTAAGATGAGGAAACTGTAGTGGGGATCTGTACCTCCCTTATACGGCTCAGGGTTATATAAATCAAGAGTGATTTATGACTATCATTTGTTAAATTGTCCTGCTGTTACTATTTATTAAGCACCTAAAGACATTCAAACAGAAATGGTTATAAAAGGCTATTTCCCAGTAGTAGAGCTAGGTTGGGTGTAAAGGTATTTTAAGCCCTGATGCTAGGTGAACTTCTGAACTCTGCTAAGTACAACAAGTGTTTTCTGGTCAAATCTGAAAGAGGACACTTATAAAGGGCAAGGGGAGAGCCCTTCTTCTCCAGCCGCAGTACTGCTTGCACTGACCTAAATTTTCTTCAGATACTTCTCCATACACGTAGGAGGCGCATGTCTCTCTATGCACATTCCTACATTCATGACGTACAACTTTATTATTGTTCATAGGGGATTGTACGACGTATCACAGATGACATATCACTGTAAATGGTATGCACAAGTGTGCTTATACGTACTGTATTATGTTCTGTGTTTACACCTGATCACATAGCGTCCCACTATTCTTATCAGTACATGTGGTTCTTCCTTATTCCATTTATTAGTTAACACTTATTTCAGTTTCTCCTTAAAGAGCGAGGCAGCAGAGCTCACTCTGGTGCAGGTGTAAAATATGATAAAATCCCGACAGAGGAACCAATGCGTCACGAGGTGCAGGAACCGAGCATCACTCTGGAGGTGCTTTTCTCAGTCACTCTGTTTCACACTGAACACTGTCGGCTTTTAAAATGTGCCCCTCGGTGGCAGAAGAGAGACGAGAATCTCTTCGTGGTGGTTTTCGTTTCCTGAAGCTCTGAGTGAGGGTGGAAGGGGGCAGCACGCGCGGCGTGCTCTTGCCTTTTGCGCGTATCTTGCTGTGGATCCTTCTCTCCCGATGCAGTTCCTGTTTGCTTTTCTGCACGGGTCACTGGCTTTTCACATGGCCACTGAAAGGGCCAATTTTTGTATGAAAACGTAGCCCTCTGTGAGTAATGCGCTGTCCTCAAATCTTTTTTCTTGTTATACCACCATATAAAATTCCATGCATTTAAGCATTAAATTTTTCTTTTATAGCATCTAGATTCACTATACCACGATCAAAAAGGTCCTCCACACTTAAAAATTATAGAGAATCTTTCTTAGCATTTTCTATGGTACCACTTTATTTTCCTGTTTGAGATCCATTTGAAACCTATTTGAGTAGCCTTCCTTTCTTCCCATTTAAAAAAAAAATACATACCTATTTTAAAATCTAAAATTCTCAAACTTCCACTGACATAAATAAACTCATGATATAAGGAAGGGTTCTTTCCCCTTTTCTCTTAATTTCAGATACCAATTGCTTCACATACAAGTTTATGAAAGAGAGCATGAAAATCAGATTTTAAGATTCTCTAGTTTTTTTAATTTGGAGGTACAATTTCAATAAACTTAAAGAAAAATTAATTTCAGGGACCAGTTCCACTGAACAGAATTTTTTTCTTTTTCTTTTTTAATTTTAAATTGAATTTATTGGTACATTCTAGGTAGACAGTACAGTTACATTCATTCCTGGGATCTTGTACCTTTACATGCCAGGTCTTGGTTCTCATTTTTTCCCCTTGTCCTCACCCTCCCTTCACCCCCTCCTCCCCTCCCCACCTTCAAACACTTTAATTCCATTTTTACATTTTCTCATATTTTTTTCCTTTTCCCTTATTCCCCTTTCCCTATCCTTCTCACTGTCCCTACACCTTTGGACCTTTTGGGGATATACTCCTAAGTGAAATAAATAAGTCACACATATGCAAATACCGAATAGTTTCTCTGGTGTGAAAAACTAAAATAGTACTCAAGATCCTAACGGGACAATTAGCAATGTGAAATAGGAAGAAAAGGGCCACTGAACAGAATTTCACCTGTTGTCCTGTTTATGAAATATAATCAAACCTTCTCAGTCTAACCCAAATGACTTGGTACTTGTTTTGCAGTGATACATCACATGCAATAACCAGCCTAGGCAGTGAGTATGTAAGACGGTGAGAAGTGTACATTCCCGAATCATGAAACATGGAAATGCTAGAGCAGCAGTGGCAAACCTATGGCACGTTTGTTGTTTGTTTTTCTTTTAAGACAAAAGATGCTAAGGTAGGAGTTGTTTTTTCTAAAGTACAACCCCAGTGTTCAGGTTTAACTACAGCATTGGCGCTTTGTGATAAGTAAGTGAGCTTGGGGCTGCAGTTTGTGCCCTGGTCTCTAAAAGCTTCTCCACCACTGGGCTGGAGGATCCTACCTGAGTTGCAACTTTGCAGGTGTATAGTTCTTTGCGGGGAAGCACTCAGCCAAAGACACACCTGGTGGAGAGGGCGCAGGTGCAGTCCCAGCTTTCACCACCCCTGACTGTGACAGGGAGACTGGACCTCAGCCCGTCCGCTCCTCACACATCAGCTAGGTGTTCTAGGTGACACCAGAGAGTGACAGCTTACACACGGAACTGCCACATGCGTCCCACCTTGGGGTCGCTCTGTGTGTGGCCCGGTTTTCATGTTGATGGGCTACACTGTGAAGTTACTTAGGGATTCATTCAAAAGCCCGAGTTCCTTTTTATGTTTCTGATTAAAAAGCAACATGACCACCAGGAAAAATTAAAATTCCAAAAAGGGAACATTCCACCGACCTCCCTTTGCTCTGGGGCTCCCCCTGCACAGCCCTGGAGTCCTGAAACAAAGCCACTGAGTTAGAGGAAATGATGTTGAGCTGTTTTAAATGAAAATCCGCCTGCAATAAGGTCTCCTTCTTCCTGTAATACTGATGGACCTGCACACTCTAAACATTCCACTCACCCCTTAAACATTACAATTTCTATCCAAACACAAATGCCTCTTCCGTAAAAACCCCATCAGTAAATATAATCTGCTCATATAAAATACCTCACATCATGGGCAAAATTCTGCCGATCTCTACCTCTAATGTAAATCATGCTTTAAGAAAGGCCTGTCATCAAAAGGTACTATTTTTGGAAGTTGGGCCTCTTAGATCGGCCATATGGAAAACCATGGTTTTGGATGAATGTGGCCATTGTGAACGTGGCCTTTCTTTATCCTACTTTGAACTGGTCTCTCCTCATGTGGGAGATATTTTTAATAAAAAATTCACCTCAATTCATTGCCCATTCCATACATTTATTATAGCATCATAAATGCACTATAAAGATAGCCAATGGCAACAGTCAACAAAAATTCCCCCTAATTTCTTCAGAATCCTATACTGTCCTCCTTTAATATATACTGACCTGGTATCTAAACATTTCTGATGTCAGGAAGTTAAGTCAGAATCCCGCAGGTTTAATTTTGAAAACGCATTTACTGAGAGTATGATTTAGAGTGAAATATATTTATAAGTAGGCCTTAAATTCTAGATGATTATTATTGTAAAATGTAACCTGAATTTATTTTTAGACAATGCATAAAGACATGGAAATCGTGCATATCAAGGGAGCACCATGATATTTGGTATGTGCTAACAGCTCACTTGGGCCAAATATAACTGTCTCCTCCAACATTTACCATTTTTTTTTTTTTAACAGTGAAAATTTTAAGCTCCTGGCTTCTAGCTTTTTTGTGGTACTGAGAACTGAATTCAGGGCCTTCGTACTGAATTACATTTCCAGCCCTTATTTTTTTTTTTAATTTTGAGAGAGGGTGTCACTAAGTTACCCCCGATGGCCTTAAACTCACAATCCTCTCAATCCAGACCCCTTAGTAGCCAGGGAGAGGGCTGTGTAGCACCACGCACAGCCCTCCAGCTGTCTGAAATGTAGACTTCCTTACTGTTACATAGCACAGCGCA